CTTGAGCTTCATATCCACGCCAAAGAAAATTTTAGAACACGCCAAAGAAAATTTTAGATTAAATGTTGATTTTGTTTTTTAATTTTAAATTTTTATATAGTTTTAGTTTTTAAATTTTTTTTATTTGTTTTTTTTTCTCTTTTAATTATGAAAAATATAGATTTTTTAATTTTTTATTAATTAATTCATTAAGTATGTTTATATATGTATATTTTTAGTTTTTAAACTTTTAAATTGAGGAATAAAAATTGTGTAAGATTTTAAAATTGAGGGACTAAATGTGTATATATATAGATAAATTTAGTATACTAATTGATAAAGAAACTAGAAAAAGTATACTGCTAATTCAATAATTCTTGAGGCAAAACATGAAAACTTAATAGGATCTAAGATTTTGATGTCAAATTTGAGACGAAACCTTAATAACAAGTGTAAAAAGAGATCTGGGATTACAATATTGGGGTTAGCAATAAAGATCTGAGAAAACGAGAAAGAACAAGAAATCAAGAGAAACAAATATACTCACCATTAAAATCTTAGGTTAAATTATAAGAGAAGACGACGACTGGATCTGGAAAAAGGTGTTTACTACGTAAAAGCAAATTTATTTTGAAAAGGGAATAGGATTGAGCGACATCTGAATTTTATTTGGAGAAATAAAAATTCCTAAATTAAAAGGCATTATTAATCCAATTTAAATCTTTAAATTAAATCCTTAATTTAATATAAAAATTTAGGATCATAAATCTCCATAATTGGCAATTAATCTTAGCCATTAATTAGGCTTTGCACATTTAATTATTTTGATTCCCAATAATCAAGAAAAATATGCGGGTTATCACAGCTTGACTGACGTGGAAAGATTACCAAATAGCATTTTGTTGTCCCCAAGAGTAACATAGAGTTGTCCCCAAGAGTAACAGAGAATTGTCCTCTATCACCATTCACCTCACTAAGACTAAAAAAGCTCTTGAACAAAGTAGTAGTAGGGACGACACCCATTGTTTGGCAACAAACAACAAAGCCCAAGATTGACCAAATGATGTTCGGTGTAAATTATGTGAACCCGATGTTGTAACTTTTCAACAAGCTCACTAATAATTCTGGCAAAGGGAACCTTAAGCCAACCTTAAGATAATGAGCACCACAAGGAAAAAATCTATCCCTAGAGGCCAAGCATGCCCTTGTTACACTACTAAGTGGGCAAAGAA